AATGTATGTATGGGGCCGATTACTTTCGCAAGGCACAGTATATAAACTACTACTTACTACTAATGCTACTATTCCTACTTCGCGGTTTTTCACTTTTCACGGGTCTTCGGGGTACGGATTGGATCCCCTGTGATAAATGAGGGACTATTGTAATTACTTTTCTGAAATTTTCATCAAAATATATCCAGCAGTTCTTGAGATCTATCCATCCATCCATTACCTTAACCCACTTCTTCCTTTGTAGGTTGTGACGGTCGCTGCTGGTGCCCATGTTTGAAATCATTTGTTAACTTTCGTACAGTGATGAATTCAACAGCTGATGCTGAAGTTTTGGGCAAAGATCTTTCATGATGGGACGCATTTAGGGTATGCATTATAAAAGACTCTCTGCTCTATACACTAAATGTTAGCGCAGTATGAATTTGACTGAATTATACATATTTTGTGATCTGTAAGGTCAGTTTACTGTGGCAGCCATCTTGAATTGGGTTGGTTCCAAAAGTTAATCTGTTATATTTACATATCCAATATTTATGTCTCCAAATACTTCATGGCAAATTTTCAAACAAAGATCTTGCACAGTCTGTTCACAATATGTGATGGGCCTCAGTACCTGCTGCTACCCCACCAAATAGCTCAATATCTGTAAAACTGATTGGATTATAACCATTTTTGAGTTTTTTACCATCATTGCGGCAGCCATATTGAGTCATGTTGCCTAGAAATGTATCAGATTCAGACGCTCATCCAGTGATTACCTTCTGCAAGTTTCAATACATTTTACCCAGTGGTTCATGAGATACTTAAGAGACACACAGCAGGAAAACATATTTTCTCTATCCCTTTTGGTTGTAGTTAAAATGTAAATGATATGAAAATTTTATATTTAATATATTGTTTCTTGTTGCCTATTTTTTTTGCAATTCCCCACTGTTTATTTTTTAAAACATTTTATGACCATTTAAAAACTTTTCTCTTTTAATCCTAGATCACTTCTGTTTCCTTTTTGTTTGTTTTTTTACATTTTGCTTACTGCACAATATGATCTTGTTATACCTGATGCAAATTATTTAAGCAAATGTTGCGTTTTTGTTCTGACTGAACCAGCGTCTTTGTTTTTCTTCTTGGTAAAAGAACGTGAATTATAAAATGAAAGCACTGTTTGTGTGTATGAACAGGTGGCACACATTGGACAGCGTTTTGCAGAGTTTAGAGTTTAAAAAGTTGTTATATGAGCGTGGACCTTTTATCATCTGGTCCACCCAGCTAAAATCCTATTAGGTATATGGAAAAAGAGGGTGCCCTTTGGACTATCTTTGAGAATTATTAATATTTTGTGTTACGATGGCTTAATAATTACAAGCCCCTATTTATAACTGATGACACGTTGTAAAATACTGCCTGTTTTATGAGCTAAACGACTCCTGAGCCATTTTCTGCAACCTGTTCACATGTCCTTTCCTTCACTCTGGTGGTGGCTGTGTACATTCTTTCCCGTGCTAGCACCTGGGAGAC